TGAAGTCCAAAGCTGCTGGAATTCTACTTTCTGCCTGTAGAGTGTATGTTTGATACAGTTCCTTGTAGTTAAAGTGTGATCAAATCTAGAGGTGGAAAAGGTTGATGTTGGTTCCAGGCTGCTGTCAACAGGATTCCTAGCTCTCAGATCCTTACTGGCCATGGAAAAGAAGTAACTTCTCTTTCCATCTTCAGCTCACGGGAAAGGAGGAAAGTGCATTTATTGAAGCACAGTTTGGCAGCAGGGAAGGATAGAGCATGATAGTTGCTAGGCAACCACTTGATACTCCTCTACTGAAGCCAGGTTTGGAGGCAGGGGATGCTGGGAATTGTCAGGAGGTTCCTGTGTCTTTCTCCTCTTCACAACCTGTAGGCTCTTTCCTTAGCTGTGCCTTTCATTTTTCAGGAAAAGTTATCCTACCAGGCACACAGAATCCTGCACAGATGCAACTCCCTTGGTGCATGGAAGAATGGGGATGCAATGCAAAGAACAAATACAGGACAACATGTTATTTTTCTACTCCCCCGCCACCCACGAGGAGGAGATGGCAGTGGTTGTTGTATTACTTTCCTCCCATATCTTGTTTAGTCTACAAAAGCAACCAGGCTGTTTGAAGGTCAAAGACAATCTGTCTTAAGTCCAGGGTGGCCAGTCTTTCAGGCCAGAGTGCCACAAGCTAAATGTTTCAGCAGAGAGCTTATCTTCCATTTTGGGTGGGTTTCGCCTCTTGTCTGCACAGCTTTTAGATAAATCAGAGTGTGTGTTAACTTGGGTAACTTGTGGCCCTCCTGAAGTTTTGGCCTATATCTCCCATTAGCCTTAGCAGTTATAAGCCAAAACAACTGCATAGCTAAGTTGTCTATTCCTGATAGTAGCACTATGCTAAGAGAGTCAGGCAGGAAGGTAGGCCTGAGTCTCTGCTACTGGTTTTCAGCTGTTGGGGTGAGACCATGACTGGGCTGTAGTTGACCTAAACTTGCAATAGCAGTTCTACCACTAATTATGTAATTTTAAAAATGAAGTTGTGCATCCCCAGATATATACTACATAACCCAGCTGGTAGGCCCAGGAATGCTACTCATGTCTAAGTACATTTATTTCACACTAATTCTGTTTCTTCAATCCAGCTCTGTCTCTGTTATTACTAACTTTGAGGGCAGATGACAATATAAGTGAGTGTTAATGTTGCTAGTAGCATTGCAGGCGATCTTACAAGCTAGGTTTGATGTCTAAATCTGAAGTGGATACGTATTTCAGGGGGGTTTTGGGGTGGGGGCATGGGGCACATCTCAGCCAAATGGCAGGATCTTCACAAATAAAACAGTTTGAATTAAGACAATAACAATCAAAGTGGGACCAAATCAGTGTAAGAACAGACAAATAATAAAACATAAAAGCATCAGTTAAAAGCCTTAGAGAAAATAGCTATTTTATCTTGGCACTGAAAGATTAAGTGAATGCTGAACCAGATGGGCCTTTGCTCTGATCTTCTGGCCTTATAACTGGGCTGATGGGAGTTGGAGTCAGTAACATGTGGAAGGCCACATGCTCCCTGTCTCTGCTGGTATTAATAGTTTCACAATCTTGCCTGTCCAATCACTATCCAAGGAACTCAGTGCAATTTGAGGGGTTCTTTCTCTCACCCCATATTGTATCTTCACTTAGTGGCCTTAATCTTAGTAGCCTGAGAACCTGGGTCACCCCAATCCTAATCTCTAAACTGACTCTAAAATGCCCTTGGTTAAGACTAATTAAAAATCTCCTTTTTAGCAAGGTTTTGGAAGGAATTTGCATGGCATTTGGTGGCTTACAAGCATTTCAATTAAGGTCTTGGGGTTCTGTGAACAAAACTTTCTCCCCTTACCTCCTACATGACCTGCTATGGCTATGTATTCAGATGCTGGCCAGAGTGGCTAGGGCGATGCTGGGATGAAGAGTAACCCCTCTCTGGAAGCCCCTGTGCACTTCTGCTTTTAAATTCGCAGCACTCCATTCACACGTGCTCATTGCCATGCCATGCTGCAATCTTCACGTGTCACGGAACACGTGTGAATTAGGCCTTTGCGTGTCTGTTGATTCTTTGGGGGAAGAGCCCTTGAGCTTTCCTTCATACTAAGGATTACAGCAAAGAAGAAAGGGAGTTGGCAAGGGAGCAGTCGGACAAAGTTCTCACTGCGTGTCCATTTTTCAGATCAGGTGCGCGTTTCGGATCAGGCGCGCATTTCGCCCGGGCTCGATGTGGCCGCGCCAGCAGCTCCTGACAGCCAGGCTCGCAGGCTGCCTGGCTGGCCTGCTTGCCTGAGTAGCAATTCGGCGACGGCCGAGCTGCTGCCTCCGCGCAGCCGGAGCGTGTGTGTGGCGGCAGACGCGCTTGCTTGCTCGTTTCCCTCTCTCTCCATCTTTCCAAGCGCCCCCCCCCCCCACGCTCCAGCTGGTGTGGTCTGCGCGCCTCCATTCAGGGGGCCGCCGCGGTGATGTTGTTGCTTTCTGTCGCCGCGCTGCCCTCCCGCTGGCAGAGCCCATCTTGCTGGCCCTGACAGGGGGGATCGGAGGCTGGAGCCGCGCCGCGGTGTAAGCTGCGTTGGAAGCGGAGCGAGCGAAGGAGCGAGCGAGCGCCCGGCTTTCTTTCGCGGCTGAGCTTGATGCCCGGCAGGCTGATGGTGACAATCGGGTCTCTGCTCTTCTGGGCTCTCGTGTACAGTTACTGCGGTCTCTGCGCCTGCCTCGAGCTGCTGAAACTTTTGTGGAGCCTCGGCACGAGGCCGGGCAAAACCTTCCAGTGGCTGATCCGGGAGAACCCGCCAGGCTGCCTCAATGACCCCTCCTTGGGCACTCACTGCTATGTCAGGATTAAGGTAAAAAAAAAAAAACAAAAAGCTCCTTGTAGGGTCATCTTGCTTCCCCACAAACGTGAGCGCGCGCGCCTGTGTGTGTGGGGCGGCTGCTGTCGTGGGAGGCTGACTTCTGCCGTCAAAGGCAAACGGGCAGTTGTCTTTCTGCAAAACAAGCGCAGGCACAGGCGGATCGGGGCTTGCCTTGTTTTTGTTTTGCTCCTCTTCCCCTTTTTCCCTCCTTTCTTGCCTCTCGGCTTTATTGATGCTACTGAAAAACAAGACTGCATGTAGATTGCAAACAACCAATGAAAAGGGAAAGGTCGTGGTTTTCTCCACTTTGTTGTGGGTTGGTGGTATGTGCGTGCAGGCACATGCAAAGTGATGATGATGATGATGTATCCTTGTGTTTGCACCACTGAAATAACTGGAGGAGGCATAGGAGAGCAGGTAGGAGGTAGGGCTGCAAGCAGGAATCTGTTTAAAAATCCAGCCAGGAGGAATACAATTTGTGGGTTCTCTGCTCTATCTGGGCTTTATTTGCTGTGAGTCTCTTAAGCAGTCTTTGATTTGGATGTGCTCAAAACAGAATCTCTCTGCGGATCATTTGGGTGACTACTGCAACCTTAGGAGAAGGAGGGTGAGGCAGTCATGGTAATGGTCTGACATTTAGCCTTATCTTTAAAAAAATGATCTTGATCAAGAAGATCTTGATTTAAACCATCAAGGAAAAGGAGAGGCAATGCATGCAAAGGTTTTGAAGTGATTTGCAGATTAAGTTGTGCAACCTTTCAGCAGTTTCTTCAGGGGAAGTCTTAGGGCATAATCAGAGAAGTAATTGCAAGCCTGCCAACAACATTAACCTTGGTAGGACAGTTCTGCAGTCCATGAATGGGGGGGGGGGGGGCGCTTTTGTGAGAAGACAGCTGTTCTCTCTACTTTAAAGAATGAAAGAAAATGTGTGGGTGATATGCCCTCTTGCTATATACAGAAAAGGACCATGACCTCTCCCCCGGGAGCTGAAATCTTGTCCTGCTTGAGCCAAATGTCTCATTTGGAGTGTGGGAACTAAACCCTTGTTTTGAGATCGCACACTGTTTGAATGGCATTTGTATTTCCAAATTCCATTGGAACTATCCATGTGGCCATGATCATTGAAGAGGGGCATCACTAGCTGGATGATTTGCCCATTCCACGTGATTTATAGCAGAAGTATTAACAGAACACACTGGCAAATGTTTATATGTTTCCTTTTGTTGATACCATCTTTTTTACTTCTCCCTGGCCCCAAGGGTTCTTATTTAGGACTGTGCAGAAATAGAAGTGTTTATCAAAGAAAGTAGTTGAATGTATGTTACTTATTTATCAAATGTCTATACATTTCTTATAATGAGAAAAAAATCTCTAAGCAGTTCATACTAGAATGTGTACATAAAACAGTATGAAATAATAAACAATTTAAAAGGCAACAATAAAACAGAATGGTGTCATAATCCATCACAGGTCAGGAAAAGCCTTTGAACAATAAAAATGGAGACAATCCAATGAACAATGTGCAAACATGGTGACATGGAATGATGGACTGTATATAGTGCCAGGGGGGACCAAGAAGAGGGAAACCCTGTGGAATTTCATTTATTTTGCTGTGTAACAAGGACTTCTGCCCTTAAAATGATGCCCTTTCATGCATCTTGCCACTCCTAGGTGAAAAGAAGCTACAGTGCTAAGCAGATAGGTCATATTATAAGAACATAAGAAGAGCCTTGGTGGATCAGAGCAAAACTCGCTCAAGTCCTGCAACTTGTTCTTCGCAGTAACCACTACATGCTGTTGGGAAGCCATAAGTAAGCCATGAGGGCACTAGTGCCCTCCCAGGAAATGCATCCAGTAAAGTGTGGTTTAGGGTGTGATGAATTTAGACAGAAAGGGCTTTTATAATTCCCAGCATGCCCCAGCCAGCCTTCCTTACCTAGCTGGGGCATTCAGGGAGTTGTATGACTCTTCAGTCTAAACAGTCCTCAGACTGCATCATTAGCAGATTTCATCGTAGTTTGCTGGTAAGAACTTGAGCTCAGCAGTACAAACAGTAATGACCACTTCTTAAGAACATCACAGTCTTGCTATTAAACACTAGAAGAAAAATTTGCTCCAACTGTTAGCACTTCCATATGTTCTTAATCACTTTTATAGCGTTATTAAACATTTATCTGAGAAAATGAATTAGCAGTATATAAGAAAACAGGATAAGGTGATTATAAATATAAAGCACTGTTAATACGCTTAATGGAATTACACATCCAATCATTTAGTGAATTCAGCATGAAATGCCCTTAACGACAATGGAAATTTAATAGTAGACTTATCATCTGCTAAAGAGAAATCCCTATAAAAAAGAATAGATATTTCTAAAACTACTGTAAACTCTATAAAACCAAAACAAGCTGATCAGGAATGTTGGAATGGGCTTATTTTGTACATCAAAATTGTACAAAATGTACATTCAAGCATGCAGTAAACAGATTTATTAATAGACCATGATGTTTTATTTTACAACAGCGGGCCATACAACTGTTTCTAAAATATCCAACCCTGAACTACATGCCAATAAATGTACAAAGCTATTTCCTTCCTACAGAGAAATGAATGAAGCAGCCCTTGCTCTCAGGAGAGCTTTGTAGGATGGGAACAAACCTCCTGGTCAAGACTGCTAGGTTCTGAGGCTGGGGGACTTTCTTTTGCAGGAAGACAGCCTGTTAAAGCAGGGGTGGGCAAAAAGTAGATTTCTCCACATTTTTGGACTTGCTCTAGCAAAATTCTTGTGCGCTGTCCATTCTGACAATAGTTTGCGAGTTGCTTTAGCTTTTTGGCTTTGTCATTGTAGTTTTTAAAAGAGTTGCAAAAACCATTTCTAGAGATAGGAGGGGTGAGGTGTGCAACATCACAGGTACAGCCGATCAGTTTGGTATGCAGACATGTTCTGTCATCAGCTGCATACGTGTCTCCTGGAATGCCCTCTTCCACAATGCCTGGGTCTGCAAAAGTACCCATACAGCCAGGCCTTTGGGCCTTGCTGTCTCTCTGAGGAGCCATGCCGGCTGCTTTTTCTGCAGCTCTGCAGAGAACTTGCCTGCCTCTTGCTAAGAGGAACCATAACACAAGCCAGAAAGCAGGTGACTGACCATCCTCTGTTTCATACAAATGTGCAACTGCTCTGGAGAACTTCAGCAGTTCCCTCTTCCACCACAGTAAATGCTGTGGCAGATGAGGAGCTGTGGGGTGTTTCCAAAGAACCCACTGGAGGTGATAGTAGGCCCTTCCGAGTGCTGCCAAGGGTGCTGTTCCTCCTACTCTTCCACCTGGTACAGGTACTTCAATCTGCTTCATGGGAGGGCCAGTCCTGCTTCTGTCTCTAGATATTTTACTTGATGACAGTATTTTTCATATTTTGAAAGAGTATGTGTACACTACCCTGGGTGTGCATAAAAAGGAATCATGTTGTAAGTATTTACACACTGCAAACATACATTGATTTAGACATGGCTTTTACCCAAAGAATTGTGGGAACTGTAGTTCTGTAAAGGATTGGCTGTAGCGATCCTGAACAGAGGATTTTCAACCTCTTCACACACCAGCAGTGTGGAAATGCTCAGACACCCACACTAGTTAAAAAATATTCTTCATTTTGGTTTTTTAGACAAATCTGAGTTTTAAATGATTTGAGTAATTTTACAATGTGATTCATTTTACCCCAAATTTAAGCTAACAGACACAGAAATCAGCTACATAAACTTCTCTCAATTATCCAGAGCAAAATTCTGTGACACATTCTTGCTTTGCAACTGTTAGCCTCTCACTCGCAGCTGTCTGATGTCAAGCATGAAATGAATAGAGACTCTCAAGATAGTTGCTAATAGATGAAGATCCAAAGGTCTGGCTGGTGTCCTTATTAGCAATCTCAGCAGAGAGCTTGTTTGTTGATCTGAAAGAGAATGAGAAAAAATTTGCAAGGTGGCAGAGCTGGCACTTCACTGAGCACCAATACTGGCTACTGTGTGATGCTTGTCCAGCAGCCACTGATTGTATAGCATCCAACCTAGAGTATGTATAATTAAGCCATGCATACACTGGTTTAATTTCACACAACCTGTTGCTCTTGAAAGAGGGTGAATGCTGGCAAAATGTTTTGTTACTCATTCCAATTAGCTCTTTTCCAGGTGTTTCCTTGCCATCTGCCATTCATGCCTGTACCAGGAACAAAGGGCCTGTATATCTTTTAGTTCTGCAATCCTGTACCCTTTATCTGGAAGTAACCGTCTTTGAACACAGTGGGAGTTAACTGAATAGACGTGTAAGATTGCACTGTTCATCTGTTTATTTGCTTTGTGCACAGTCATAATGAAGTGGACAGCTGGCCCTAATGTTTATTTCCCTTCCTTTATTTCTTCCATGCACCTCCACCACTTTGGAGGTACCCAAATGGATTTTCACAAAAACATATCTGTAGGAATAGTGCAATAGTTCCTAAAACAAGCAGCTGTGGAATATCCTGCCAAGGTACAGATGGAAAACACTCCCAAAGGTGAGAATAGGTATACTCATGTGTAGGTTTGGCCGGATGTATGTCATAACGAATATTAATGAGTCTGGCATGAATATTAGTCACTCAGAAGTGTTTGTCAGTAAATCTTCTGTACTGTTTCAGACCATTCTGCTAATGCATTGGACTGTAGCCTGCGTTGGCCTAGGTGTGCTATAGGTCAGATCTTTAGCAGAAGTCAGGATTCTCAAGGCAGCAAGATGGGAAAAGATCAGTACCATAGAAAGCTCCGAGCAATGCTAGAACTGTAGCTTAAGCAGAATCAACTGTATGTTGCTCCAATGAAGATTATATCAAGGCTAAGCTTTCAATAAAATGTTGTTAGCATTTAGACTAGTTGACTCAGCCTCTACATGGGCCAAAGCTTTGGTTTTTTTAAGTGCTAGTCTCCTCAGGCTGTGATGATATAGGAGCGCACATGACATGTAAGTGTCATCATGGCTGGAGTCTTCAGAGTCCAAAGATGGCAGGGCACCTGCCTCTGGATACAGGGAATCTGACCTCTAGGATCTTTCTGGTGAACTGGATCCTGGGGTGATGCCTTTCCACGTCCAAAGCTTCTCCCTGAACTATCGACTCGAGAACCTCTTCTTCAGAAGACAAATGGTTGGGATCCTATGAGGACAAGGGTTCAGTGTCCTGATTCAGGACACACACACACACACACATATATATATATATATATTCATATGAATGAAACTACTGTTCAGATGTTGTGAGGAAGCATTCTTCATTTTTGGATGGTGAATGCATGTGCCACAATAGTTTGTGTGAAAGGGCAAAGAAGAAATGCCACTACTGTGCTTGCCTGTCTCCCATGACTTTCACTATTTTTTTTTAAAAACGCAATCCTATTAATCAGGAACATGCTGAACCAGTTGATCAAAAGGTTTTTAAATTGTTAAATGTGGCAGCCTGAGTGAGTGTCCATCATTGTATGTTCCACAATAATGCTGCCAAAACCAAGTGAGGTGTCGAAACCCTTCCAAAAATGGAGATGGAACAAGGAGGAAGAAAACATGGTGGAACATGAAGAGTCTGACTGATACAGCAAACCTTGTTAAGCCCAAAGCTGAATCTATCCAGTGAACAAAGCTCTTACTGATTCTCAGATACCTGAACATTCACCGCCTAACATAAATACATGTCTTCTTTTGCACTTCCAGGATTCTGGGTTAAGATTTCACTATGTGGCTGCTGGAGAGAGGGGTAAACCGCTTATGCTGCTCCTTCATGGCTTTCCAGAGTTCTGGTAAACCCCCATGCTTTATTTTTAAAATATAAATTTATATTCTATTTGCATCCATTTGTATGCCCTGCATAAAGAAGATCGATAACCAAATCCACATGACTGTTGTTTATTTTTATTTCACTTTGTTTGAAAATTCTAAAGATAGTACCTATTGTCTGTAACTATAATGAAGACATGATTACTGTTATTACCATACACTCTGCACACACAACTGAAACATAAATCCTAATGGAATTCCATGTAATAATAACTAAAAGATTTTTCAGCACAACCCTAGACATGTCTGCCTACTCAGAAGGAAGTCCTGTTGAGTTTAATGAAATTTACACCCAGGTCAGTGTGCATAGGATTTCAAACTTAGACCTAACCAAAGTCCTGCATTTTGGTGATATGAACCAGATGAGCGTCTTCAGTGGATTTGGCATATTGATTTTGTTTTGTAAGATTTCATCACGGAAAAGAGACTACGGTTACAAAGGTAAAGGTAAATATTTATTTTCCAAATGATTAAGAAATCCTAATGTGTTTTCTACTCTCCCTTTCTTCATCAATTCTTATAAGCTTTTGGAACATCTTTAGAAGTTGCTGTAATTCAATTTATGCAGACACAGTTAACTTCCAAGACCTTCTAGGTACTTTATAGCTTATATATGCTTACAGCTATTGACATATACTTGGATGAGGAGTGAGAATCTGAAGTATAAATCTGAATCGCCTCCTCCCATATGTACCTACCCTGAACTTGAAGTCATCTTCAGGGGGGGGGGTCCTTCCCCAGGAGCTCCTTCCAAAGGAAATGAGGTGGGTGGCTACCAGGAGGATGGCATTTTGGTTGTGACACCCCAGTTTTGGAATGAGCTCCTTAAAAAGGTATGCCTGGCACCTACTTAGTATTCTTAGTCATAGGCCTTTCTTTCTGTCTAAACTTGAAGGGATTGTGTCTTTAAAATGGATTTTGTTTAGTATCTCATATTTATTCACTGACACAGGCATCTGATTGGCTGTAGACTGTATATTGACTCATGTGCCTGACAGGATATGTTTTCAGACCAGTTTTATGCATGTTGGGAAAGTTTTCTTTGCACATTCCTTATGGCAAAAAGGAGAGAGATCTTGGCAAATTTATGTTCCCCAGACTTGGTATACCTGCAAAAAAAAATACTGCATCAAGATACCTATCGTATGTGATTCATCTCCATGCAAATACATTATTGCTAAAAGTTGGGCATTGGTGTTTTGTTTGTTGAGGTGATTTGTTGCTGCTGTTGTTGGGTTTTTATTGCACAGTGTTTTGCATGGAAAAGATCCTTGCAGACTCCAGAATGGGAAAGGCTGCTGCTTTGATCTTGGCAGTCACTGTCAGTTACAGACAGCAGTGGTCTTGATGGTCCAAGTCTGACTCAGTAGAAATTATATCAATGCTTCAAAGACCACATGATGTCAAGGATCATTGCCTTTAATTGCAGTAAACATTGATTGCCACATAGTGTATTTGGCACATTCCAGGATTCTTTCAATTTTCCCCACTGTTACTCTTCTCATAACAACCTCTCCCATTACTGTCAGTGGCTATTCCATCAGGATGCTCAAGGAGAGACAAGAGCAGGGCCACTCCATTGACTCAGCCAAGAGATCAGGCAGTTTCCACTCCCCCTCTGCTTGAGTTGTTTCCACTCCAGTTGGTTGTGCTAAGGAGACCAACAGCATATGACTGCATTATAACATCATTTCTGCTGCTCATCACAATTGCCGGGGTGGCGGGGAGTTGTATAATTTTTTTCTGTCTTAGAATGCATAGGTTTATGGACTTATATTAAATATAAATATATATTTGAATCTATACTATTCTTTCGTCTATTAAATGTATGTTCTCATTAGATTTCTATTATATAATCCTGATTTCTGTCAGGATGTACCCAGGTATGCAGCTGGTAAAATTTATATGAGGGTATCAAAACATTGACAGATGTTAAACTTTATTGGTAAAAGGGGAGAGCATATATAACATGAAGATGAAATTGCAAAATATCACTGCTGAAGGTGATGGACAGGTTTGAATTTCATGCTAAGCTGCCCTGCAAAAAGGCAGAGCATTGAAACATATGGTGCACCCAATGGACAACTGGGCCTATCATGGCTTATTATTTATTTATTAGATTTCTATCCTGCTTTTTTCTTATGCACTCAAAGTGGCTTACATCATTCTCCTCCTGCTGCTCTCAATCCTATCCCCACAACAGCAACCCTGTGAGGTAGGTTAGGCTGAGAATCTGTGACTGGCCCAAAGTCACCCAGTTGGCTCCATGGCTGAGCGGGGACTAGAACCCAAGTCGCCTGAGTCCTGGGCTTGTGCTTTTAACCACTACACCACAGTATCTTAGTGTTCATGGCAGAACCCATCTTGTCACCTGTTCCAATTGATACCAATTTTTGTTCATGGGGGTTGTTTTGTTTTGTTTATTTTTGGAGCCTCAGAAATGCATAGTTTGGTTTATTTTTTAAAAAAACAACCTCAGAAAATTATACAATTATAAATTTTATTATTACTTTTTGGTCGCCCACCACAGGTGTGTTAGCACACACTTAGCTGTCTGATAATAGGTACTTTTACCTTGTCAATAGTCTTGTAAGTTTTAGTTATTGAAAGGACTGATGGAGTAGGACAAGGCAAAACTGCTTATAGTCTAATTTGCACACAGTTGTCAGGTGCCAAATGTTTAGCTGTAAAGTATCTGAAAAGTAAAGGGAGGGAACTGGTGAATGTAGGTGCACCAAAAGGGGGTGATAGCCATACCACCTCTTAGCAATAAAAACCAGAAGTTGATATTAAGTGCAGAACTGGCTGTTTTCAACACTTCTCCAAGTCTCCAACTGCTACAGAATGGAGAGATATTAACTCCTGGTCCCCTTTTCAAGTCTCCTTCCCAGAGAACTTACTGCCAGAATTACACTAATGTTCCCTGACAGTTCTAAAAAATGCACAGTTCTGGACTGGGAAGTAGATGCAAACTGAATGTCTGACATGTAAATAGAGGGGAAATGTATATAAATTTAAAGTCCAGGAAATAAATGGAAGGGAAGTTTGCATACTTGCTCAGGAAATATTGTTGTGGCATCATTTTGATGCTCCTTCTTTTGTGCTCCTACAAAGACTGAGAAAAAAATCACAAACACAGTCGGACAATTTTCTGGATCTGAAACCATAATTTTAAAAGGTTGATGAGCCAAGGACAATTATTCTGAAGTGTTGCTTGGTCATTGGTGGAGGGGGCTGTCACTCATGGTGGCACTGGCAAGACTGCAGAGTGGCAAGGGATGTTGTTTTTGTCAAGTAGTTAGCTAACCAATACCTACAACGCACAATGGAATTGGTCTCCCAGTTTCACACAACACAACAACAGATCATGGGTTGAACAACCCCTAGAACAAGCCATGGGTTGTCACACTGGCTTTTTGGACAACCCCCCCCCCCCTCCAACCCCTCAGGAAGCAGTCTGGGTTCAGACAACACAACAACCAGCAAGGCTAGTAACCCATAATATGTTATCACATTATACAAACCTGCTTCATTTCTTATACATCTACCTTTAATTAAAACCAAGCAAGTTATCCTGGTTTTCCCCATCTGAGGGAAAGGGGAAAAACCCTAAACTTTATCTATCAGATTACTCTTGAGGCCTAATTTTTCTGGCCCAAATAGTCCTTTTTCATTACTGCTTTAAAAGAGATTTTTACATTACTGTGGTCAATTCAATTGAGCACCAGTGTTGTATAGCGGTATCGGGGACTGAGACTCCTTGCTCAGCCATGGAGCCAACTGGATGGCTTTGGGCCAGTCATAGACTCAACCCAACCTATCTCACAGAATTGTTGTTGTGGAGATAAGACTGAGAACAGAAACTCAAGCCACCTTGAGGGGTTTTTTTTAAAGAAAAAGGTGGGCATCACATGTACACTCCTTCAACTGTTTAGATATGGTATGTCTTTAACTTTCTTGATATTGCCCTCTCTTTCTCTCGGTATGTAATGCTGCCACCAGGACTTTATTCTAATCATATTAATTAACCTTGCCCAGTATTGTGCCCAAGCTATAAGGTCCAAATTTGGACTATGTGGTCCTGAGGACGAGACACTGGTATTCAAACAGCCCATGACTGAGCTTATAAACAAAATAAAACTTTATTTGTACATTAAGCATATTGGTTTCAAGATGTTCTATCTTGGTTTCTATCTGTAAATTATTTCCTCAGTAAATAAAACAGTGCATGTTAATAACTTCTGGCTGAGGTATCTCACTCTTTCCTCACACATAGATCCTCCTTTCTCTGGTCTAGTGTACCTAGACCAGTCCTTATTTTATTAATTTCAGTTTATTTTTTCCTCTTCTGCATTCAGGTTTCTGTCAGCTTCTCTCTTTCACATCCTTATAATGCTTGGTGAGGTTAAGTTTTGGCTCTCCCTAGTTGTCAATATGTCCTCTAAGTGTTCTTCTTGCTTCCCTTTGTCCATGTGAATCCTAAACGCCTCCCACAGCACTATCTAGGAGTCTAAAGAGAAGGCGGCTTCCTCAGATGCTGCAGGTTGACAGCTGACTGATTCCAACTAACTGAAACTACTGATGGACCTCAACTCTCCACCTTCTCTCTCCCCTCCCTCCATCCACATTCCCAGGCTCCTCCCAAACTCCCAAGCTCCTCCCACATCCTCTCAGCCACCAACCAATCACCTCACTCACTCATCCCCCTCCTTTACTCCCCCTCGCCCTTTGGAAACTTAACCAACATTTGAAGGAACACAGTCACTTAACACTTAAATCATTACTGCCAACTTCAATATGGGAGGTCACTTTACACTTTAAAACATTAAAGCAGGATAGAAGTCTAATCAATAAATTCAGTATATTGCTTCAAGATGCCCAGAGCTACAAATAAGCCAATGACAGAGATACTTTAGCACTTAGTCGCATTTTTACATTTATTTACACAGATTTTATTTGAATAGTTTAGGGATGGGGAAGACATGGCCCAGAAATGTCCTCTTTCAAAAGGAATCAGTCTAGCTAAATAGGTCCCCAAAATTATGGTAGAGGGACTCTTCAGGGTAAAAGAACAGCCCAGCAAAGCCAAGAGGAAGAGCAATAGTTGAATGCCCACTAAAGTAGCTGTGTTAAGCCCAAATTAACAAGTTTTCTTATAACCAACCTTTGTTTTTTGAATGGATCTTTTACTGAAATGTGGTTTATTTAATTAATTTATTTATTAAATTTCTAACCACCCCATTAATCATATGGCTCCCTTTGCTTAGTGATGTTTCTTTAAAATGCTATTTACTGGTATAATGCTTTTGCTATCTTTATTTTTGTTTTTCCTGTGTGAACAGCTTTTTCAAAGGGAGAAAAGAATTCCAATTTATATATCTTAAATACAATGAAGTAAAACTCTCTTCTTATTTACTAGGTACTCCTGGCGTCATCAAATGCGAGAATTTAAGAGTGAATACCGAGTTGTGGCCTTGGATTTGAGAGGTTACGGAGAAACAGATGCTCCTGCCCACAGAGAGAATTACAAGTTAGACTTCCTGATTACAGATATAAAGGATATCTTGGAGTCACTTGGTGTGTCAGCAGCAGTCATGCTATCCAATTCATAATAATGTTGAACTTATTCTATAGTTATTATCTCCTAGCCATTCCCTTTTTGACAAGATTTTTCCTTTAACAAAACTCTTTTAGAAATTATTGTTCACACGTGATATGCTGCATATGTTGTTTTTCTCACTTAAAAATCTACTTTAGGCAAATTTAGTTAGCTTTTCTAAAGTTGCACTGATCACTGATGCATTTAACAGTTGTGTACTTGATTCCGAATGGAAAGATCAGCTCATGCAGCGCTCACATGCTGCGAGTTACATGGAAGGGGTCTTTCCAGAAATGATTAGATCCCAACAGGTCCAACATCCAGGGTAGGTATGGTCAGGCAACTGCTGAGGGCCCACATCCCATCTGGGGCTAGCTTGCAACAGCCAACTGGATTTGCTCTTATCTACCTGCCTTTCGCTCTGGCAAAGACAATAAAATTTACAAAAGGAGAAACCCTAGGTGCCACAGTGGCTCTCTGCTCCTCTAGCAAGCAAGTAGTAACAATAATGAAAAAGGAGATAAGGAGCAATAGCAACTGGTGGCAGTAGAGGTAAGAAGGCAGACTCACTGAGAAAAAAGTCCACTGAGGGCTTTTCCCCAAAGGCCTCAAAAACCTGGAGTTGGACCTGGATTCAGAGTTGCATAAAGCACAAACTGGATGACCCTCTGACTGAGCAGAAGGAAGGAGGCAATTCTTACTAATTCCCTTTCCACCCTGCAGCTTACATGCACTGGGGGCTGCAGGGTGAAGGAGGAATGGACAAAAATCACCTCACATCTCCTGTGCTGCAGTGGAAGGAATCTGCCAGGTCCTGATTCCTTCTAGTTTTCAAAGAGAGGAGCTTTTATTGTAGAAGCGTAACTCCAAATCCCATCCAATCTCTTTAGGGCCAGTAAAGTGTAGCTGCAATGTGTTCGCTGAAAGGAAGCCAAACATGTCCAGGTAGAATATCTGTTGTACATGTATCCAGCCCCCAAACTGTGATTGGAAAATACAATCCCCACCCACATCCTAAGCCAGCATTAGTGTTGCATAGGCATGCATGAGAATTTTGTTCCTGTTAATCATGCAAACCTCCCCCATTCGCAGCCCCAAACCTGAGCAGGGTTTTTTTCAGTTTTCTAAAAATGCAGTTCAGAATTCTGCATTCAGAATTGCCTAATTCTCCCCCAAAACCATATTTTAGGCTATGGGGAAAAGTGTACATTTTGGTGCATAGGTTGAAAAAAGAGCATTTTCCTGATCAAAAATGCACATTTTTCCCAGTTGGAAAACAGATGCTTCCATTCAGGAATGCACATTAGTGTGAATGAAGCTTCAAAGAGGGGGGTCTCAGTAAGACTGAACATTGCATGAATGTAGTTGCCATGGGGAAGGTGATTGATTGTCACTGGCATGGGTTGATGGCCAGCATTGCATCTTTTGCCCCACCCACACAGGGATGAATATGTGCACTTTTAAACAATTTCTTGTCATATGCTTGTTCCAATGCTTGCAAGCCCAGGAAGACTCATGCAGTAATCATGAGCAGTCTTTGCCTCAGTATTCTCAAGAGGCAGCTCTATCTCATTAGCCAGTGCTTTTTAATTTCCCCTGCCCACAAACACATGTAAACAGACAAAGGGATGAGTGTGACTCTGTGTGTGAGACAGAGGCAGAGGCAGAGACAGAGACAGAATAGCTGGAAGGATATCTCCACATACCAAGAACCTTCCTATCCCACAACATGCAAACGGGATAACAAACTGGAGCATGTGGTAGCTTCTTAGCTTCAGAGATTTTGTGATGATGCAGATTATCTAGATCCATTTCAGTCTGACTTCAGGCATGGTTATGGGACAGAAAGTACTTGGAACACACTGGTGGACAATCCATGCTTGGAAATGAACAAAGGAGTGTGTTTCTGTTAGTTCTGCTAACTCTCTTGGTCACTTTCAGTATCATCAACACTGGTATCCTTCTGGGATGGGACTAGAAGGTGCTCCCAGAAGGTAGAGCTGGAGGATTCCTCTTTCATACTGTGGCCATTGGCCTTTGGTGTCCCTGGGAATGCCATCTTCCAATAATAAACATATTATTTAACATATACATGAAACTGCTGGGACAGTTTCGGGATATGGTGCTAGCACTGTGCTGTTGACACCTAGCTCTTTCTCCGTCCTTTATATCCAAATCCAGGGAATCTGTTTTAGTTCTAAACCAGTGTCTGATGTCAGAAATAGACTGATTTAGAGCAGACAAATCAAAGCTTAATCCAGATAAAAGAGAAGTACTTCTGGTTAGTCAAAATCTAAATTAGGGATTCAACCTGTATTAAACAAGGTTACATTCCCCTCTACCCCAAAGACAGGTTCTCAGTTTGGGTGTACTTCTAGACCTTGTCTTGAACCTGGATGCCCAGGTTTTGGTAGTGGCCAAGACTACATTTGCAAAGCTGGGCCTACTGCACCAAATGTGGCTGTTCCTGAATTGGTGCCTATTCCCTGAGATGTCTTTTTTGGCCATAGTCATGCATGCCTTAGTTGCATCCTATCTGGACTACTGCTCAGAAACTCCAGATGGTCCAAAGCGCTAACTTATATCCTATTTGTATCCTAACATTTTTCCTCTTGCAAGTAACCCAAGGCAGCTTAGTGGGTCCTCCTCCTCTCCATTTGATCCTGGCAATAACCAGGAAACAGGTTAGTCTGAGTTACTGACTGGCCTGAAGTCCCCCAGTGAGCATCATGGTCAAGTGGGACTACCACCCAGTTCTCTCATGTTGCAGCCCAGCAGTCTGAACCACTGCACTGCACTGGTAATGACCAATGAAACCTATACAGCTTGGGACCAAACTATCCAGAAGGCTGCCATATGAGGTTGCCCGAGTCTTAAGATCTTTCTCAGAGAACCTTTTGAGAGCACTGCCTTCAAACATGCAATTGGTGACAGCCCAAAATAAGGCCTTCTTGGTGGCCACTCCCAGGCTGTGGCTTCCCCTGATTGAGAGAAGCTGGATTTGGTCCCTCTCTGCTATCCTTGAAGTAGGTGTTCAAGCAGGCCTTTGACAACGTTGCTTTAGAAGTTGTTATTCTTCTATAAATGCTATTTTGAAATATGTTTTGCACATTTATTTTATTATTTTAATCTTATTTTATTTATGATTGTAAGCCGCCTTTAGTACCATTTTTCTTGGTAGGAAGGCAGAGTTCAAATCAAATAAATTAATAGATGAAACATTTGTACATGTATTGCACTTGTGGTAAAATTAAATTTGTAGGCATATTAATTAATACTAAACTAAGGTGTATCTTGAGTCTCTGGATAAGCCCTTGACTATTTGCCTGACAGATCTAAAAGCAGAAACTGCCATAAAAAGCACTCGATAAAATATTAAAGAATGCATTTTTGTTCGATCAGCTCTCCATTATCCATCCATGTGACCTGATAAGCACTGAAATTTTCTTTTCCATTTCGTCTCCTTGTTTATTCCAGCATTTCCACATTTCCCAATGATCTTTGACTCCTGGTGTTGAAAAACTGCTTATTCATCCTTGACTCATAGCTGCTTCCAGTCTACTAGATACCTCATTTGTCCCACCTGCCATACCTGGGATTCTTTGCCTGTTCTTTAAGACTTCTTTGTAACCATAGATTCACATGTTAAGTTTCTTAACTCCTCCTGATCCTCAGTGGAACCAAGAATCTGTGTCTCACTTCAAGCTACTAAAATCCCACTCAAATAAGCAAGTTCTTATTCTGTACTGGGATAATGGTGTTTCAGGGTACCCTGAGGCATTAGAGCATTGCAAGTCACCAGGGGAACAGAGTTCCACACTTTTAGAGAAACCAAAGTAGGATGGCACAATATTGGCTATATCTTCTTTTTCTTAATTGTATACTGCTCAATAGCCAAAGCTTTCAAGGTCCACAAGAATGTTTGGCTTCTGAAATAGGAAAATAGGATTTCAGTTTGAATAACATTGGACACAAATCATTGTATCCCTTCTGAGAGATGCATAAGAAACAGCTAAACAGTTGAGTATAGAACAGTTACATCACCCTTCCCCAAACTGGTGGCATCCAGATGTGTTAGATAACAGCTCCCATCACTCCCAGCTAACAGGACCATGCTGAGCTCAGTGAAGGCAGTTTCTAGATCTTGCATGCAATAAGGACCTAGGCGGAAGCTCAGGAACAGTTTTCCCACACACACAAATCACACTGGCTCTACACTCACATAGGAAAGCTGGCATAAAGCCCTTCACAGACATAACCTGGTGCAGGTTGTTCTGGTACATGAGAGCTACAGGAATGAGTAAGGAACACAGACTAATCACACCTTTATTATCAATCACAATCACACCTGGATCTGGATGCACACATGCATGCCCACCAAATTACAGCATGCCATCGTAGCTGTGCACAGTGGCTGGTTTTGAAACAAAATATGTTTCCTGGAACTTTAACAACAGACCTCTGGGCCTAAGTTATAACTCAGACTTCTGTACATGTAGCACGGGACAGACTGATGTTCAAGGAGCACATCCAAACCATGTTCGGAAAGATGGGAGTTAGTTGTTTGCCCTTTCATCTACAGGTAGTATTTATGGGCAGATCCCATGGAGTACTTATTGTACTCCCATATTGTATACATTTGTTGGAAGGCAGTGAAATTCATAGTTGACCCCATTATTAGTAGATGGAGGCAGCTGATCCACGAAGCATGAACGAGGGGCAAATTGCTAATGACTGCATTTTTGCTTGAGTTCGTGACATCTGGCTATTCCAACTTGAGCATCAAGGATTATGCCTTGCACAGATTGACATAACCTACAGTAAGGCAAAAAAACAAAAACAAAACCCCACCCTAGAGAGGATAATATAGCAACAATCAACTGTGGTAGGTGTTGAAAGGTTTGTGGTCTTGGTACTGTCTGGGTGCTGTCTTTCTTTCTGATAAACCAGCTGTTACAACAGCTTTCTGTCAATTACATTGCTGTGTAGGTTACAGCCCTCTCTTTGGGCTGCACCAGTTACTATCTATTCATGCAACAGCAACATCTGTTTCTTAATACGGGGCCTTTACTGCTGTGGTTCCACTACGATTGATTGACCTCCCTCTTGAACTGAGAAACTATTGCTCTCTAGTTTTATTTCTAAGGGGCATTGCTGTTTATTGGCTTTATATTATTGTAGTATAACTCTCTCCTCCCGTTTTGTTATAAACCACTTTAAATATATATTGCTGAAGCAAGTTTATAAATCAGCAACCCCTCCAGTTATGCAAAAGAATGGAGAAAATGTGGTCCCATTAGAAATCTCTCATTTTCAATTTTCTACCTTGTTGCTGTGTTGTCAGCTATGATTTTCAGAAAGGTTTATTAATAGAAGTTATCACTTTAACTGTGGTGGTGTAAATTATTTGCCAAAGGCAAGGAAAAGTAAAGTTAAGATATTGCTAGCAAACACACTGCAACATCTGCTGTCATTCCCTTTGATGCGATAATTTATGTGGAAGTAACTGTTAGTAAACGACTGTCAAAAATCTATTTTTAAATAACAGGATACAGCAAGTGTGTGCTGATTGGACATGACTGGGGTGGAATGATTGCTTGGTTAGCAGCTATTTGTTACCCAGAAATGGTGACAAAGCTGATTGTTGTGAATTTTCCACATCCCTCTGTTTTTACAGGTGAGTTTACAGGAATGGTATCCAATGCTCTGTATCTGTGGAATTCTTGTTTAGTAGACATTTGACACCAATTTAAGATAATAATAATTGATTATTAATAGTAATAATATTAATTCGAACCGGCGACCTTTCGATCAACCAGCCCAGCAACACAGCAGTTTAAACCACTGCGCCACCTGCAGTCCCAATATTAACTACTATTATTATATTATTCTTCATAGTAGCATACTGCTTTTCCTTCAAGAGGCTCAGGATGGCATCCACAGGTCATTCTTTCTCCCCAGCCTGTTCATACGAGCACACTGTGATGTAGCTGAAGTGAATGATGGGCCCAAGATCACCCAGTGAGTTTCATGGATGACAGCATAAACCTGGGCCTCCCAAGTCCTAAGCCAGCACACTAATCCAGCTTTCCCTGTCCTGAGGCCCCCCAGATGTCTTGGCTACAGATGCCACCATCTGTTATTTGGTTCAAAAGAGCTGTGCCTAGAACGAAAGGGAGGTTCAAACATGCTGGACTGCTAGCCATGCCTAAGTGACTTTTCTCTTGAAGCAAACTTGGAACATAGGCCTTTTCCATCCTCAGAATCTCTTGAGCATTTTGAAAAATGGACAAAAAGATCAGCTTGTTTTAAAGATAAATGAACAGGATTGTTTGGTATCCTTTATATTCTCAAAATTCCCTTTGTTTAAGCTTTTAGATTTCTCGATGTCCAAGCTGCATATATACCTTTAAAATGCCATGTGTGTGAGAGAGAATATTGAATGCACTAGTATATATGTCATACCCATCACTGAGATTTTTATTTATATATTTCAAGTATTTTTATGCACGCCCTATAACAAGTTTTCATGGCAGGATAGTCAGCTTGATCTCTGTCATATGGATATCATGCTTCCAAATGAGACCCAAGTGCATTGCATTTGCAGGGTTTGGTCCCTAGGCTTGCCTCATTTGCTCATATGCATCCCATGGCTGGCCAGTCCTCTCAGCAGTACTCGCACCCACTGTCCTTGGGATCATGGTGGCCTGGATTATTATGCTTGTTATCCCTCCTTCCTGCTGCCAGTCCACTGCCATAACTTGTTGGTGCACCCATAGGAAATGTCTGCAGGAATTTAGGGATTCTGGGACATACTTCTGTACAGACATAGCGCACAGGGAACTGCTTATCTCCCTGTCTCTGAAAGGACACATCCTCCTGTCATTTAGACAAGCACTTTCTGTTTCTTCTAGAGAAGGGCCTTGATCAGTAGCTCAAGGTTACACAAATACAGCTGTTTCTGTCCTAACACTGCTTCTCATTGGTTCCAGAAAATCTCACAAGATCTTGATATTTCACATTAATAAGTCTGCATGAATGTTTTCAAGAACAATCTACAACTTAATCTCATTTCCCGTCCCATGATAACATGCTTGAAGGCCAGGCTGAGGACCTTGGGTGGCCATGTAGGGCTGCCAAAGGATGTTGTTCTATTTGGATGATTCTCTATACGCATGCACAAATACAACATAAATTAACAGATGGATTTTAATGCTAATCACTGTCCTCCTTTGTTTTCCCTCTGGAGATATATTTCCTCTTTTTGGTAAGAGTTCTAAGAAAAAATAACGATATTAATGAGCCAATTGAAGGCTACAGTCTTAAACACACTGTCTGTAAACCTGAAAGAATATGATGGGACTTATTGCTAAACATGCATATGATTATAATGTAACCTCAATAATCTCTAGTTATGAAAGATTATCAGAATATATCATAATTACCAGCTTTAAATTTTGAATTCATTTTTTTTCAAGAATACATTCTACGACATCCATCACAAATGATTAAATGTGCCTACTACTACTTCTTCCAAATGCCATGGTTTCCTGAACTTATGTTTACAATAAATGATTTTAAGGTGAGTATGTCTAGAAGCAGATCATTTTTGTAGATGATACAGGCTGGTCAGATTTTCCACATGTAATTCAAATCAAATATTCATGTAATGAAGATGCATTCCTTTTGAAACATTTATTCTCTGCAATCAATCCTGCCTGAGCAGCATGCAGATATGTTTGCAAGCACTGCAAGTAAGGCTTTGTATTGTATCAAAATACCCTTAGAAAGATTAGAAAGAATTCCCCTGTTACAGAAGGTATCTTATTTTAAATCTATAGATGCTTTAAAAAATGTAAACACTGAATGCAACCAACACATGTAGTATACACATTTTCTTTAAGGAGACAGGTTGGCAGATTCAGTGAAAAACCTGTTTGCCTTGTATCATCTCTGAAATGACACTTATTATTGACAAGAGGGCCTCCTATTTAATAATATAAAGCGGGGGGGGGGGGTGACTTGCAAACAGATCTGCCATTAGCTGCATTCAGATATGGTAACCTGCACTCAGAGGTTGAATATTGGTTGAGTGCAGGCTGTCATTGAACTGTGGGTTGTTGTTGAAATGTGAGCTACTGTGTTGTTTGAACCCAGCTTTGATAGCAAAACATGGTTTGTTAATCACAGACACCCCATGAAGGCAGACCATTGTTTGTTGTTGGGTTCTGAAATGTAGCTTGTTTGCTGTGTGACATGTACCTTATGCAGATTTCCCTAGTTCCAGACAGTTTTGTACATATTTGCAAAACCAAAGAGTACAATTGGCCACTTCTCTAGTTCTTCAGCCTTTGCTTTCTTTGAAGCTTGCATCGTACAGTGTCCAGCTTCCCCTTCCCAGAAGCGTGTGTTTTCTAGTGGGTTATGATTTGGTTACTGTGTGTTTTCTAGTGGGTTATGATTTGGTTACTGTAGCCCTCAGTGCAGGTCTGTGAACTGCCAAACTGCTAGCATGAGCACCCAGATTCTAAAGCACTTTCCACATAGGGTTGAGACCCTGTGCTTGGTTTCCAGCCCCAAATTTCATTCCTGCAGCTCTAGAGATACTGACCTATAGAGAATTACGCTAACTACATGGTTTCTCTTATATACTATTATATTTACAAATTATGTTCATCAGAGAGGGTGGAAATTGTGATTGAGCTGCTACATTAGTCACAACATTGGTTGAAAGTAACAATGTGACAAAGTGCCCAGGTTTGGACCACTCTGCAAGGCAGAGGACTGTTCAGCCAGGCGTTAGAACACTGGGCAGCAGCAAGAGGGCTTCTTGTAGGTACTAATTTGTAAGGCAGGGTGTATCATTCTGTCTGCTTTGCCAGGTGCTTCATCTGGGTGCCACTCAGGCTTTCTTTGCTTCTCTTTCAAGCTGCAGCGGAAGGAGCATTAACGGGCAGCCAAGGTTCAATCCCTTTGCAAGGCAAAGGCTCATTGACCCCTCGGGGGCCAGTCTGGTGGCAGGCAAGGGGGATATTCCTCTAATTCCTCTAAGGCATGAGAAAGAGGAGGAGGAACCTCATTCTGAAGCTCGAGATGGGGAAGCCACATTTCCCTTCAGGGAAACAACTAGCAGGCCTTGCTTCATAGGAACCCAATCACTGATGGTGAAAGGAAACAGAATGTATCCTTCTCTGTTGCTAGAATGCAGAACACAATCCATTACAGAAAAGAGTGAGGCACACACTCTGTTTCTATCTGTGTTCTCGTTCTTAAACCAACAACAACAAAACAACCCTACTTTGGCAAATTACAGGGTTTTGTTGAGTCTGCTGATTCCACTGTCTTGTGTATGGCTACTGCTATTTTAGTTACATTAGTATTGATACTCAAAACAGAAGGAACGATAACAATCCATACAAAATCATTGGGTAACCTGAAATCTAAAAAAACCCAAAACAAGTATTTGCTATTCTGTTTGAGAAGATGACAGTACCTGTGACTGAGAGCTGTTTTTTAATTTGAGGCAGCTTTTAATATCATCTATTGATTTGCTCTTTTGTTTCCTCATAGACTTTGAAAAACTTCTTTACCAGCCAGTCCAGTGGAATTGGAAGGAAGGGCTGTAGGCTTACAGCAGAAGACATTGATGCTTATCTTTATGTATTTTCCCAACCTGGAGCACTAACAGGCCCCATTAATCACTATAGAAACTTTTTCAGGTCAGTGTACTACTCTTGGATCAAATGCCTAAGTCCAGCAAACACACGTTTAGCTGTTGGGTGCAGATTAATAAAGAATAATTGATACAACCATATAATAGTCATGTATGCAAGAATGGAACAGTCACTTCTATAAGTCAGAGAGAAAATGGCCACCTTTGGTGCCCATTTAAAAAATTTGGAGATCAGTTGACGATTCTGGGATTCTATTATGGAAACACTAATAGCATTTATACCTTAATGACAATTCCTTAGGGTTAAGGAGTTGGCAATTAGAGGTTTCTTAAAGACAAATGATCTAGAGCATGCCAAAGACCTGTAGCAATTTTGAGAGGCCACTAAAAAGTTGTATGTTATTCTGAAAAATCACAAAATCATTGCAGAAACTGATGATGAGCCAAGGTAGCTGACTTTTTGGCATTGCTGGAATGTGGCTAAAGAAAGATAAATGAAAGAGACCCAGTGTGGTGTAGTGGTTAAGAGTGTGGGATTGGGACTCAGGAGCTCTGGGTTCTAGTCCCCGCTCAGCCATGGAGCCAACTGGGTGACTTTGGGCCAGTCACAGACTCTCAGCCCAACCTACCTCACAGGGTTGTTGTTGTGGGGATAAGATGGAGGAGGAGTATGATGTAAGCTGCCTTGAGCCCTTTGTAGGAAAAAGGCAGGATATAAATCCAAAAATAAATAAAATAAATATAGTTATTCTAACAATGAACTTTAATTTTATTTTAGCATGTCAAGAATCAATATGAAGTAGAAACCCTGTCCTTCTGTGGTTCTTGAATATATCCCCCCCCCCGTGGCCAAACAGAAATATAGACACAATAAATTATTCTTCATGCCTGCCCCCCAACAAATCAGGGAGCAGGGAGCCTTATTGCCACTGTAAACATGCACAGGTTTATTATGGCCCAAGCTGTGCAGCACTGTAGGCTGCTTCTTCAAGTGTTTTCCTGAATTACATGATGCCCCTCTAGAAATGTTAATCAAGGATCATGATTTGTATAATCACATTTCTTGTGGAATCACAGGAATTTTTTCTTTATTTTCACACACAGTCTCAGATTCAGATTAAGAGTTTTCTATGCATATACAAATGCATGGTTTGGAGGGGAGGCTGCAGTGAATATTTAATTTTAAAAAATCAGGAATCCACAGGTTCATATCATATACTACCATCCAATTTTAGGTCCCTAAATAAATGTGTAATTCTACACGTTTACACAGAAAAACTACAACTCCCAGCATTCCAAAGCCAGCCATGCAGAAAAGTCTTATAACCCCCAGGAATGTACAGAAGTATACCCCAAACGTGGTATCATGCCTACCTTATGCTAGCACCTGCAGTAAAGCAGATGGAAACCTTTATTTCAAGCTCCACATATGACCAGCTTCAATGTTTCAGCCCCATAAAAGTTGCTTTTTGCATAAGTGAAACTGCAGTGCAATCCTGTTTACTCAAGTCCTGCTATGCCAAAACAGGATTTACTCTCAGGTAAGTGTGCATAAAACTAAAGACATAAGGAAAGAAGGATTTTTCCCTCTGCCACCCTTTGCTGTCGCCTGCAGCCACCTGAGCTGTCCTCAAAGCCTTCCTTAAGGGATACACGCCACTGGATAGCTTGAAAGGGTTCTGTGTGAAGGAGAACTTGCTTAAATCGGCCCTGGATCCTTAGTTAACTTTTTTCCTCTCCCTTCACCAGTCTTCAGCATATGAACCCAACCGCTGAACACTAAAAAGCGAAGTGGCAAAGAGCTTTTCCTCCAAAAGGTGGTAGTGATTATATTACTCCCTTATCGTTGTGATCCTCAAGGAGCTTTATTCTTAGTATTGTCTCGATTGTGTCAGTCCCCTGCACTTTTTCCACAATTCCCACAATCTCTAGGTAGTTTAGAAAGTGGAAATTTACATCCCATCCCCTTTCTTTTGAATAGCTGTTTCAACCTATTTAGCAAACTTGAGCATGGGGGTTGCAGGGAATTGTATCCTCATTAAGTCAGCATATATTCCCTGTCCGTCCATCCGTCCCCCCTGCCCCCCCCGCCAAAAAAATACTCAACCAGACGGGTGGTGGTGGTTTTAAAGAATGCTTTTTTTTTTTTTTTTTTTTTTTTTTTTGGCGTAGAGTACCTAGAGGCTGGGGAAAAGGTGGGGGGAACTGAGAACAGTACTAAAAAACTAGAACATCACACCTAGAAGAGGGAGCTATAATTGTTACTCCTTTTTGGCCTTTTGATCAGAGGGATAATCAAGCAATACTCATTTTACAAGCATGGTTTCCGTGTATTTACATACATTAATGCACAGTTGACAGACCAGCACCCACTTTGTGTGCAAGCCTGTTTTTGATAGAATGAAAGAACTAGCAAGGCTAATAATAATAATAATAATAATAATGAGTATTTTTCGTTACAATAGAGCTTAACATGTATAATGTTAAGGCACAACCAACCTAAAATGTGCATAGAACCTGTTATGAATAATGTAAAACAGGCAGTATTGGTATTTTTATCATCACATCATTATCTCTTATTCTAAAACAAAATATTTGATCCTTAAAAAAAGAAGAAACCTGGATAAGTATTGCAATATAGATACAGACCTGTACCTACATTCACATCGTCTTCACATGGAATGAGATTAATGAGGCTGTGAAATACAACTAGTTCAAGCCATTTGTTACGATTTTTAAAATAATAAGGTAAATATTCTATTTTTAAAGTTGCCTGCCTCTGCAGCACCATGAAGTCACTATGCCTACTCTGTTGCTATGGGGAGAAAGAGATCCCTTTATGGAAGTTGAGATGGCAGAAATCACGAAGATTTATGTGAAAAATCAGTTTAGACTTACTATTCTATCAGAAGCCAGCCACTGGCTCCAACAGGATCAGCCTGACATCGTGAACAAACTGATATGGACTTTTCTGAAAGAAGAGTCAAGAAAAAGAGAATGACCATTTTCCCCCAGCACCATCTAAATGTTCAAAGTTGTGATCAGGGCCATATTTACAGCAAACCTTAGACTGAGCTCTGCTAGAAAAAAAGTTTTTGATGTACTGTATGTATTGGTGCCAATGTTATTATGAAAAGGTGGTGTAACACTATGTGACATTGATGTTGGTTTTACTTGTATTCTGTATTTTGCACATGAAACACTTGCCTTAAAATGTTTGTGCTTGTAAAACAAGGAACTCATTGAAAGTTGCTTAGTTTTGGTTACTCGCTTGCTTTAAGATTCTAATGTGTGGTGCCTTTTACAAATTTATAATGATGAATCAGTACAGGGGTACCAATGTAAAATATGTTGTTACTGGTATGATCAATTTTCATTCTACTGGTTGGAATTTTTTTTACTATATTTTTATCATTAAAATATTAACTGATTTTTTGGTCTACATATTACTGTAGAAGTCTAAACAAAATAACATTTTTGTGTGGGCACATTTGAGATCATAAAGTAAATAAATCAGTTATAAGAAGTTGATAGCTGCTTGTGCGGTGGTGAAAACTGGCCAAAATCAAAGATGTATATATGAATTTTCAAACTAAAACAGAGAATGAATAATAATGATTATGATTTATGTATCCTAGCAGTTATCTTGTTCTAATAAACTGAGGAATGTATGAGGAAAAAGGCGAAATATCCATTAACAATTGGCTGGCTTTTTTGTAACATAACCATTCTAAGCAATACCATGTTGGCCGCATTCAGCTTCCCAAATTGATAGCTACCATTTTTGCCTCTCATTATTTTGAATGAACGTAAAATGTTTACTGGGACTTGCAACTAAAGCAGTAGGCCTAAAATAGAAGTTGCTAGAAAACAAACTGAGCTGAAGTTGGTCAGGTTTACATTCACATAAATAAATTTAGGATCGATCTACAAACTTTGCACATAAACAAAGATCTGAGGACACTGCAAAAACTTCGAAATATTTGCCACTAACATTCAAAACTTGCTGCTATAAATGTGGGAAGGGAATAATATATCTCAGTTCTAAAACTGTAGTCAGCCCTCCACAGTCCCAAGGTTTAGGGGCACAAGTCCCCCTGAAAGTGGAAAAATTGTGAACGTCTCTCCCGCCAGCTCAAAAAAACCTTAACTCTTGTTACTGTTGACCATACTTATACTGGTAGCTGTATTAAAATTACCTCTTCTGCAATTTGAATAACCTTAAACAAGCCAATGTTAAAACAGGACCCAGTGCACCGGAGCATGAGCCGCTCTGTGGCAGGTCATCCTGGATCACCATGCAAGCGTCACAGGTGTTCAGGCACCTGCCCTTTGGGGGGGGGGGGGCATGCACCATTCTGGGCAGACTGGGGAAAGTTCCCCACACAGCTTTCTGTGGAGTGGTACGCAGTATGCCACAAAACTCCCCCCCCCAATAAAACCCCATTTAATTATTGATGGCAAACTCATGAAACTCAGATTCATGAAAGCCAAGCCAGTGGAAGCCAAGGTTCAGCTGTAATATGAAGATGTTCATGAGTGACAGGAACATCAAGAATTGTTAACCAAGGCCAGGCATGGTCAAAACAATCCTTATGCTAGGATTGCTTTACAGGATGGATTTTGGAACAAACCATACATTACTTTCCTTATCACAACTACTTGCATCTCCCACATGCAAATTATCAGTATTAAGCTGGTACATAATATATCAGGTAATCCAGGATCTGTATACCAAGAAATACAATTCAAGTGGCTTTACATTCTGGTTTTCTGAATCTGTTTCCATTTGGTATACTGTGGCTTGAGTGAAATGGAGATTCTACATGGAATTAGTGGTGTTGTATTAGTTGTTTTCCTGACCAAAAGATATAAAACATAAATACAGTGGTGGGGGGTGAAGGGACTAGTGTTGCAGCTGCTGCATTTGTCAGATTCTTCCTGTGCACACTTGTGTGGGAATAAATACTACTGAACACAGAGGAACTTACTAAATTTTCAATGCTATATTGTTTGAATTTTGTGGTTTATATTGTTGTATGTCACCTTGAGAGGCCTTTGAAAAGGTTGCCTAGAAATGACTAAATAAAAATAAATATGGGACTTTCTTGCTATTTTCATTTGTTGATTATTGTTGATAAGAAAAAGACAATTTTCTTGCTTTCCTATGACAATGTGCAAGCTTAAAATAGCAAAGATTCCTGTAATAATCTCGGCTTCTGGGGAGTTTCTTGCATCCAAGAGAAATGATTCATCAAGGTTGTGTTCTGTTTCTCACAGAGCACAAACCGGACTTGTTCCGCACATCTATACACTACATTCCCCTTCCACTGGGTAGTTGCACCTGTTTGCAATTGAAACGAGTCTTCTGCCCGACATCAGGTCGAGCGTTGATTATCTGTGAAGAGCTCTTTCAAAGCCTACATGGATTCTGCAGAGTTGGGTGCCTTAGGCCAAATTAATTCCGCGAAACGTGCACATCTAGTCCATTCTTTGCGAGAACGGCACATATTTTTCTGGGAATAAACGTTCTGCATGCTAACTGTATTGGCGTTTATCAACAGAAACTGTATCTCAGCACAAATACTGTCATTGTGATGGTTTTCCTGCAAACTATTTATACTCCTCTGAAAACGTCTTTTCACACACGTGAGCGCGCTCCTTCGTGTCGTGCCTCTGCCATTTCCGCGCTTGCTCCCTGCGCAGTCTATTGCGCCTCTTCCTCAAGAGCTGAACCTCACTCGCTTCCCGTCCCTTCTTCGCCCAGCAAAGCTAGAGGGAGCCAACCATGTGGGCAAAAGCATGGTAAACAAGGCGGAGGCGGGACTGGGCAGTTCCAACTGGCGACAGCAAGTCATGATTGGTCCGAATTTTTTTGCTGTCCAATGAGAAAGAAGGAAGGGGTGGGCATATCTTCGAAAGCACCAAAACAGAAAGGTTTACGCCATGGGTCAAGCGCCCGCTAGTTCGGTAGTTTTCGGAGATTTCCCAGCGGAGCTAAGCGCGAGCGGCGTAAGGGAGAGGCTATCCCCGCCGTAGCAGGAATGGAGACAAAGAGAAACATTACCGGAAATACTGTTCGTGTATTCCTTGAACAGCGTAGCTAAGGGATCGTGTGCTAATACTAACCCCTCACTGCGGAAGTGGGACGTACCAAAGCTTGGCACCCGAAAATCCTGCCCTGCCGGGTGGCTCGCGCTGCATGGCGCGTTGCGCGGGGAGCGCCGCCTCCTGGGACTGCGGGGATACCCGTGAAGAGGGAGGAAGGAAGGGCGGTGCGAGGGGCGCCTCGGAGAGGCGAAGGCTGAAAGAAATGGTGGCTGAGCAGCTGAGGCAGGATATGAACAGGTAAACGCAGGCGGAGGGAACCAGGGAACTGGTCTGGCACTACATGGAGTGCCTCTGTGTACCGAGAGCTGTGAAACCCACGTGTGTGGGTCACCTTAGGGTGCTTATTCATTCTGGGAAGCAATACTTTACAGGCAGCCAAGGTAGTGCACATTTTGTCAACAAATAGGTGATCTACTTGTAGGCTTTATTTCAGAAAAATAAAATTAAAATCTGATGATCCGCCCTTCTGTACATCAACACACCCAAAGTGTTCATAGTCCGCAAGCATAAAAAGCGAAGTCAACACCAGTTGTCATTTGCAACACAAAGGAAATTTCAAAGTAGTATTGTGGGTAGAGGAAGAAGAAAAAACAGTCTATTATATCATCGGTGCTACTATTCTGTTGTGATTTTTGTTTTGTTTTGTTTTGTTTATGGGCCTGGCTGATGTTTCCTTTATGGAAGCTAATCGCTAGGAGTTGCTCTTCTGATAGCCAGAGAAAACTCTTGAGTGATCCATCAGTACTTGGGGAATGCATCTTGTCCCCCCCGCCACCTCCACTAACGCAAAAACAAGAGTTTTTGGAGTTTATGGAGAGTGAGGAACAGGCAGCTGTGAGCCATAGTATTTCTATTGTATTTATAAGTTTATAGAAACATAGAAACAGAGAGAGTCAGAAGGGGTCTCCCAGGCCATCTAGTCTGACCCCCGGCACCAGCTGGTTCTGCTCACGACATGCCCACCATATGCATGCCCACCATGTGCATGTTTATCATTATGCCATTGCATTTTTTCTTCTTGTGAGGAACCCAAGACTGCTTGCCTGCTTCCCCTCTTCACTGCAGGTGCAGGTATCTCCTCAGGGCTCTGAGACGGGCTTCTGTGCAGGACAACAGGCAGCTTGGCTCCATTTGTGCTCTACTCATATATTGTGTACTTTAACCAAACTGCTGTGAGTCAGCAGTGCTTTCTGCTCTGAAGCATGCCTAATCCCAAGTGGTGCTAAGAGTAGCCATGCTGGATCAGACCAGTGGCCTGTCTAAGCCAGCATCATGTTCCCACATGTCTGTGGCAGTTGTGAAGAACTTCAGGTCCAAGGCCCAAAGGTGTTGCTCCTGGGTCTTCATCTTCGGGTTCCATGGATGGGTATGCCCTTATATCCCGGAAGAGGTATCTGCATCTGGTCTCTCCATGGTCAGAGCACAAAAGTTAAATAAGCTCTGATGGGATATAGTGATTGTGTAGTCTTGCCCAATGGAATCAGCTACCTAAAGAAGTGATGGGCTCTCCAGTACTGGATGCTTTCAAGTAAAGACTGAACAACCATCTGTCAGAGATTTTTTAGACTGAGCATGGCCCATTTTGACTCTAGTCCCATGTTCTTCTGGGCCTAATCCAATGGATAAAATGAGTGGAAGGTGCTTCTGTCATTGCTCACCCATGCTCTCAAAGAGAGTGGATTAGAAGAGAACAGCAGCAAATCAAGGGGGCCTCCAGGGACTGCATGTGGGCCCCCTGCTGAGTCATAGGCCTTGAAGGTACACAGTGATGCCGACCCATTCACCCATTCAACACCCTTTACTAGTCTGGAGAGCCAGCTGTTGAGAGTTTGTATAGAAAGCATGGCATGATCACTGTGTGTTTTGACAAATGAGAAAGAAACAAACCTGGATCTGGTGACATTAAAAAAAAAGAAAAGAAAAGAAAAGCAAAACAGTTTGGGGGTTGGGTTGTTGCTTTGTTAAAGATATTCTGAGAAAACTTGGTTGTTGCTGCTGTTGTATCAGAAAGCTGAAAATGAACTTAATTGGTGTGCGAAAGAGCAGGCTGTATGGTAGATGGAACTGTAGCATTCCTGTACATAGATGTTCTAATGTGAAGATGCAATCCCCCTCCCCAGGAGTTGGGGGTGGTACTCTAGTCTCTAGGAGATTTAGCTCCTAGCAGAGGGGGTTGAACTCTGAAGACTGGCAATGAGCAACTATAAATACCTGCCAACAATTAAGAGGAATTCCCCAAATCTCTAGCAGCGCCAAAATAGGGACAATGAGACAGGCATTGGGGATACAACTGTCAATAAATATGACACACATAAAATGTACATTGATGTCACATCCAAGACTTTGAAAGAGCATACAAGTATTACATGACTAGAGATACCACCCTCAACTCCAGTTTCCATATTTTCCCTCCTTGACCTTCATATCCATATCTGTCTGATCAACAGCAGTATAGTGGAACCAAGGCTTGCTGGGATGCAGTGCAGGCACTTTCTATTAGCAGGAATGCTGATGTCATCCACCACCCCTCATAATTCCTTGTTTCCTCTGAACTTAGCTGCAATTCTCACAATATTTGGAGGTGGGAGTGAATTTGCTGAACAACAGGATATTTCCTGTTTATAATACAAAATATTTTGGATGGCTTGGTCTTGAGTTGGCAGTTGAGACCCATAACTTTACAAATGACCTACTTTTGGTGGAGATGCATGAATACTCCTAGAATGCATTTGTAGGTATGGATTAACATACAGTGGTCTGACTTTTTAGACTCTGAGGGTTGAGCACTTGCACTTCAAAATTTACTGCTAGACCACTGCTGACCAATCAAGCGTTGCATGTGTATGTGTGTGCTTCTGCTATGTAGCTTTCTTTAAACACTTGGATAAAATGTGTTGGTATGTTGCAATGTATGTGCCACTTTTTAACTCTCTTAGCTCAGTTGTGATGCTCTTTCTTTTCTTTTGCAGGCTTCTTAAGGAGGAAATCCAAACTGATGTTACTTTCTGTGTTGGCAATATTCTGTTCAGAGCCCACAAGGCAGTGCTTTTAGCAAGAGTGCCAGACTTTTTTTTGCAAGTTTCTGGGAGGTGGTTAAATAATCTAAGCAGCAGTCAAGTTATTCATCTGGAGAATTTGGAACCTTTTGAATTTAAAACATTCCTACAGTAAGTTTCTAATTTTCTCTTTTGCTCTTTAAAAAAATATTTCAAGCTGGTGTTGTCATAACTGTTGGAAGAGTTAAGAAATGCATTATAGACTGGTAGCTTTGATGGTAGAGCACCAGCTTCTGCCATTAAAATCCCTCTCTAGCCTTCAAGGAATTGATCTGACAGTTAGCTTGGAGATCACGAAATTTGAAATGAGTGCTCCTTCTCTTTCTCCTGTACTATTATCCCATCCTTTTTTGGGGGGGGGGGGGTTAGTCGCAAGGTCGTGGCTGACCTATTATGACCCCATGGACAACATTCTTCCAGGCTCACCTGTCCTTCTGGTACTGGCAAGGATACTGGAATGGGTTGCCATTTTCTTCTCAGGGGATCCCCTTTTGTCAGAGCTCTCTGCTATGACTTGTCCATCTTGGGTGCCCCTGCATGGCATAGCGCATAGCTTCATTGTGTTACACAAGCTCCTTCGCCACAGCAAGGCAATGATCCATGAAGGGGTCCCATCCTTAACCTACAGAAAAAGTGGTGGCCAACAAGTACAAAAAGTATTATTACTACAACAGTATTTTTGGATTGAGTAACTAGCAGTTTGCTTCCTTGAAATGAGTTGAAATGAAGTGAATTTGCTGCAGGTCTATTTGATAGTTTACCTGACTGAGTTCAACAGCTAACGTTTCATCAGGGATGTATTCTTTGGAATGTACATTTCTAATACTTTGGTCTTGACATTTTAAATATATTTACCAAGGAGCTGTGAAAGGTCAATGTACATTCTACGCAATTAATGTTGCAAACAAATACAAACTTACCTGGGATTAAACCCTGTTGAACTATATGGGGCCTACTTCTCTGGAATGCCAACAAGTGCAGTGTAAGGTTGTGAATTGTGAGCATTAGCATACCATTTTCTCAATTGTTTGTGTTTATTTGATGTTTATATGCATTGATCAGAGGCTAAATAAATAATATAATAAGCAAAATGTTGTAAAAATAACCTCTCAAGGTCAAATTCTGAATACTTCTAAGAAGTCTATTATGGGTGTTAATTTCTGTTTGCTGCTATTGCCAAAATTATAAATAATTAAGAAGATACTGGTTTGCAAACTTTGTGGATTACTGTCATGAACTGGGCTTCCTCCTTTCCACATTTAAAAGCCACAGACCATTTTCCTTACAAAGTGTTCTTTATAGACCAGAAAGTACAAACACCCAGAATGAATCTCTGAGCATGCACAGAGTAGTTTGAACCCAATCTAGTAATCACCTCCAGGAATCCTCCTTATGAGTGTGCTTGGGCTCATCCCTTTGCTGGGGGGGGGGGGCTCCTGAGAGTGAGCACACCTCCTCTCTACATGCTGATGCTCTAATTGTGCCACCCTCCTCTGCTGATGCCATGTGATGGGGACCAGAGCCAGGGGTACCCGGTCTGTGTCTGAGAAGCTCTTCTGCCTTGGGTCCCTTCCTCCCAGCTGAACACCTTGGTTATTCCCAGGGACTGCTTGCCCACCTGGGGAGTCTGTCCTTGAGATAAGCAGCTCTGCTTCTCTCATCTCAGTCTCCACTTGGCCCACATTCACAGTCTCCCCCCAGTTCCGCTTCATATTCTAATTCTGATGCTTCTGAACCCAGCCAGCCACCCTTGAGAATGAATGCACAAAGCAGCCCTCTTTTTCACTCCCAACCATTACTGTGTGTTATTTGTATCTTTAGGGTTTTTTTTTAAAAAATAAGTGTTATTTTATGTCGAATTTGTTTTATGGGGCAGTTGCAGAAATAAATAAAATGTATTTCATCCTAGATAAAAGAATGGAAACCACGTGCTTTTGTAAATGTTAATTCTTACCTTTTTTGCTTTTGTCAGGACTGTATTCATAGCTCTTGACATTCAGTTGCTCAAATGAACTAGGGATGTAACTTGTTTGTTCCATGAGCAAACTCCAGTCTAGGCATGAGTAAACATGGAAGTCAGTTCCTGGCATTTCTTACTCTATGACCGTAAGAAGAGACCTGCTGGATCAGACCAAAAGCCCAGCATTCTGTTTCCCACAACAGCCAACCAGTTACCTCTGAGAAATGCACAGGCAAGGGCATGAAAAAAATACCAGATCCACCAACAACCTTTTCCTGCCCGCTAGTGATAATTTAGTAAAATACATCCTCTGAAATTGGAAGTTGCATTGATACCACAGCTTCAGGATTATACAGACTTCAGTGATCCCTCTTTAAGTGATCACCCCATCTGCTTCTCATTGTCCCTTCTTGCCTGTTTGCCCACCAAGTCTGGTTTTTCTGGTGCAATCAAAGCAGAGGGCCTTTTCCTCATTTGTGTTTTAGGTAAAATCTTATAAGTACAGATTTTGATCTGTATGTATAAAGTCCATTAGATAATTCTTCAGTCTTTCTGCCATTACACTGGAAATTGGTATCCATCACCTGGTTTTCTTTGTAGATCTTTTGGAAGTTACTAAAGACCTACCTGTTTTCACTGGCCTTTCCATAGTCCCTGAGCTGCAAGTTGTATTGCTATTATTGAGTTTCATAGCATTTTTAATATTTTTTTCTTTGTTTTACATAGTTTTACATAGGTTTTTATCCTGTATGCTGCCTTAAAAAGTTCTACCCTTATTAGAAAAATAATTTTAAATCAGTAAATGGTGAGCTCCATGAATAAATCATGCACTGTGTGGGAAAATAATTTTATTTTGTGTATTGACTCTACCACCAAGCAGTTTTATTGAGTAATGCAGAATTCTAGGGTTATGAGAGGGTGTATGTTGAAAGTCTCCTTCACTTGCCCTATGATAGAGTTTTAGAAAGTTAGGAATATGCTTCAGTTGGATACAGTTGAGAGGAGACAAAATATATCCTTTGTCTAAAACTTTTGGTTTACCAGCGGCAGGTTTCCCTCTCTTCTCCAAGTTTGTCTCCTTTTATACACCTTTGTACACATAGACACTTAATGGGATAGAATCTTGATGGGATTGTGAAGTGTTTTCTACACAAAGCCTGGTCTAGCAGGATGTATTGCAATATGGACACACTCTGAATGAGATGCTGCTGAATATTTCACTGTTTTTCAAGACTAGATGGTTTGCTGGCATCAGGATGTTGCTTTGGCTCAGGCTTATATATAAGCCATCAAATGTTACTACCCTGTGGCAGAGATGGGAGTTCCTTCCCATATCTAGACTTGCCCCCATGTTTGAGGGGACCACCAGCAAGGTGTTTCCCTCCTGGCCAGCCTCTTCCTACCAATCCTTTCTTTTCCTTTCAAGGGAGGAGCAGCGGGACTCGGCCTAGCTCAGCTCCTGTCTTCCTCTTAGCTCACTGCTAAAAGCAAGTGTTAAAGTAGCTAATCATCTGAGATTGCAGTGCCATGGCACATCATTTTAAATTAAAAGCTTATTTCTTTGTTAACTTTGAATTGTGGGGAATGGAACCAATTGGACATTGGGTGTGCCACCAAGGAGGGAAGAGCAATGGCAAAAGGGCAGTCTTTTCATAACTTTGGTGCCCTCATTGTCCGTGTCCCGCCAAAAGACAGCACCTGAGTGGTTCAGTTCACACTACTCAAAATTACCAAAGAAAAGAGTCCCTTTAATTTAAAGTGGCATGCCAAAGGGCCAGAGCCCTACCCATCTAGCTGTAGTGGCGCTTTCTTTTAGCAGCAGGTGGGCAGAAGGAGGTGGCACTGCTTGTTTTTGGCTGGTGCCTGGCCCTGACAATGCTATGGCCTTCAGCATTTGTGTTTCTGTGCTGCATGCTGCATGCACGGGTTGCTCACTTGCCTTCTGTGCTGTAGCCCGTGGGAGGGACAGAGTCTGCACACAGTTTCAGATCCATGCCACCTACGGCTATGAGACAAGTGCTTAAATCCAGAGCTGGCTTAAAGAATTTTAGATTCCTTCCTTACTCCTTTTAGGGGCATTGGCCCTCTTCAAAGGATGTGCTAATCCTTTTCATGTCCTGGAACCATTTGATACAGGAAATGCAGAAAAGCAAGCAAATCTTTTATTGCCCTTGCTTGGGAAGAGTCACTTATATTGACAGTTTGTTTCACAGAGGTTAAATGACATGGCAACTGAAAGTCTGTGATATGTCATAAATTGCATATTAGACATTCTCTTTGTAATGCAAGAATGAGCAGCATATTGTTTAATTAAATAGGAATTTTCAAGCCTGCAGGGAAAAGACTGCATTAATTCAGGCATTTTATTTTTATAAAAATAGCATGTCTCTTCTAGGAATTTCCCTGGGATTTGCACTGTATATTATTACTAAAGGACTGAAAAACCAATTTTTAGATTGATCAAAATATCTACCTATCTGCATCAATTTTATATTACCTTTATATGTCAGAGGCAGATAACAGGAACTGAATGGCTGTTACTTGTTAATGTCAGGATGCCAAACTTTCATTTTAATTGTCAACAGTCTGCTGTAATCTCTCTCTACTTCCTATTGTTGTTGTCTTCCCCTTTTCTGCCTTTTTTCTTTTTCTTGTAACCTTGACAGTGTTCTGATTTGTTCATAGGACCTGTGTAAATTTGGTCGCAGATTTCATTGGTCATGCTACAAATTGAAAAGCTGAAATCCTGTTCCCACTTTGCCTGCAGCATGAAAAGCAAAGATTTCTGTCAATTCCAATTAGCAGCTGCATAGGCAAATTAATTGGAGCAATGCAGAATGCTTTAGGAAACAGCATAGTAGCAATTTTATATCTCAAAGCTCCTGATAGAGGTGAACATTAGCATTACAGCTATATGTGTAAAATATTCCGAAATGTAACAGCAGAAGCTCTTCTGGGAAATTATATAAAGGACAAACAATTAGTTTGCACAATTATCCTGCCAATTCAGCATTCCAATATGTAGCAAAGAAGCTTATTTATCACTCAAAAGAATCTCTGATGGATCTGTCTTCCTTCAGCTGACACTAATAAATATCCACATATTTTCCATCCCAGTTGGACAGACAGTTTATCAGTATCACGTATATCA